GATAGATCAAATCAGTTGTCTCTTCATGAGTAGTGATAGATCAAATCAGTTGTCTCTTCATGAGTAGTGATAGATCAAATCAGTTGTCTCTTCATGAGTAGTGACAGATCAAATCAGTTGTCTCTTCATGAGTAGTGACATAATGTACATGTTGAACAACAACAACATAGAACACATTTACTACAGATAGGTGTTAGCAGACGACAATACCTAAGTTCAATACTGATATAAAACAAATAAAATAATCTGATGTCAACAACTTAATTTTTTTTGAAGAATATCTGACTTAAAACATGGATGAAATTTTTATGTTAATGCACACTAAAAATATATAAATCTATGGAAGACAGCACTACCTGGTGATGCTAGGATATCGTTATTGTTGATTAACTTCTACCTTTTGCTTTGGTAACGTTAAATTTCTGAAAAATGTTAATTTCATTTCGACGTATTTCAACAGGTAAGCCTATTTTCTACTTACAAAAGTAGAATTTATCAAAATTATCACTAAATGAATTAGATAATGTTGACCAGATAAAATAAAGTGACTAAAAAGATTATGTTAAAATATGTCAGTATTAGGCCTAAGCGGTTACTATCCGCATGCAGGTTCTCAGGTACGTAAAAATTTGATTTCCAAAACTTTTCCTTGCTTTTCGACCCATTTTTTAAAGCCCCCTGAATTTTCCAGGAGTTTCAAGGTCCCCTTTTAATGTAAAAGAAAATCAGATAAGTTTCCGGTATGAACTCTTGGAACTAAGTTTGACTACGATGGTCCTCACACAACAAGATTGACTATTGTAATATAACCTTCAGAGTTTTGACTACGATGGTCCTCACACAACAAGATTGACTATTGTAATATAACCTTCAGAGTGACTACGATGGTCCTCACACAACAAGATTGACTATTGTAATATAACCTTCAGAGTTTTGACTACGATGATCCCACACAATAATATTGTATCGATTGTAATATAACCTTCAAAGTTTTGACCAAGATGATCCTCACATAAAAATATTCTATTGATCGTAACATAACCTTCAAAGCTTTGACGACGATGATCCCCACACAATAATATTTTATCGATCGTAACATAACCTTCAAGGTTTTGTTCACGATTATCCTGACTATATTGTAATATAACCTTCAAAATACTGAATTGTTTTTATACTCATATTTCACACATTCCTGGATAAAATTATTCATTTCTTGAGGTTTTTTATTTGATCCACGTGATCAAGAGAGCCAGAGACCCACAAACAGTTTGGTCCGTATATAATTTAAGAAAATTTGTTTACAAACAACAAAAAACAGTGAGATATTGACCAAATCAATAATTCTAGGGTTAAAAAAATGAAATAAAATACACTCTGGGCAAAACATCATAGAGGGTTCAACTGCCCCCTATGGGATGTTTTGTTTGTTGCCTGTTAGAAAACGGAAATGGGCAATCGGCGATAAGACCTAATTTTTTCTATTGGTAACTAAACGACATCGCTTGGAACATTGAGAGCTTAAATGACTCGAAATTATTAACATATTTCATATGTTTACCAACAGATGGAGCCACATTTATTACTTCCTGGTTGGTGCTTCTTTTTCTTGTGCGAGGTTCCTACATGTGCCTCATTTTAGATTGCCATAAGCCAAATACGAACTACATAAAAATTACAGGTTTGGAAAGAAGTCGCCATCGGTCCTACAGACTAAAATATTATTTAAAATATCTGCTTCCAACCGATTGATTAATCCTATGTTGACACTCACCAGCCTACCGACGTGATTATTATGAAGGTTCATCGCATTCTTCACGTCTCTGTTTTCACTGGACTCCTTTTCCGCAGCGTCTACAAAGTGCCTGGCAAACACGACTCCAAATTTTACGTTGTCCGAGCAGCCACCCCACTTCCAACCCTCGGAAGTGAGCTTACCGTCCTGGGAACGATCACAGGAACACACCGTTAGGTTTCCGCCACTGCACGCCTCGGTGAGACCGTGGACGACGCCGGCACTCAGTATGGCGTGAATGAATGCTGTTTCTCTACTACCTAAGAATAATAAAAATAATAATTAAAACATGTTTACTACAGTAGTACGTATTGATCTTCTATGTAGGATATTATAATCATCAAACATATAAAGCATACATAAGGTATATTTTTTATACGTCTTGGCATGAGTAATATTAATGACGTCAGTGACTTTTGGACTATACAGTTTCTAGCTTATTGTTTAACATCTAAACTTCCTTCACTTCTGACCTATAGTTTCAAGCTGTTTAACATCTAAATGTCTTTGACATAAGAAACATCGGTGACCTTTACTTCTGATCTAGAGTTTCTAGCTCTCTGTTTAACATCTAAACGTCCTTGACATCACTAACATAAGTGACCTTTACTTCTGACCTATAGTTTCAAGCTGTTTAACATCTAAACGTCCTTGACATCATTAACATCGGTGACCTTTACTTCTGATCTATAGTTTCTAGCTGTTTATTTAACATCGAAACGTCTATTCTACCCTAGGTGTATCAAATATCTTTTCCACCTATTATAACGTTATTTAACACCTCCAGTGTTTCTACTCTACTCTTGGTGTATCAAATATCTTTTCCACCTATTATAACGTTATTTAACACCTCCAGTGTTTGTACTCTACTCTGGGTGTATCAAATATATTTTACACCTATTATAACGTTATTTAACACCATCCCATGTTCCCACTCTTCCCGGTAGTAGACGTTTCCACTTATTATAACGTTATTTAACACCTCCCATATTCCCACTCTTCCCGGTAGTAGACGTTTCCACTTATTATAACGTTATTTAACACCTCCCATGTTCCCACTCTTCCCGGTAGTAGACGTTTCCACCTATTATAACGTTATTTAACACTT